TTGCTTTTTTGGTCAGCTTGTGAGACACAGGTCCTTTTGCAGCTCCCACACATCCTATATGTTTCAGGTTTTTAAAGTCAGAGATAATCGTGGTGGTTCCTGGATAAGCACCCACCACTGTGTTGTTCCCATCCCAAGATTCCTGCAGGTGTGGGTCACACAGGGGTGAGAACAAAAAGAGCACAGGCCACTGCATTTTTTGTCTGCCAGTTTTAAAAAGGACATGCAGGTAGCAGGCTTCCTCCTGGCAAAGCTGCCCACTTACAGTTAAGCCTCAATGCCTATTTTTCCATAGATTAGATTTAGATTTAGATTTAGATTTAGATTTAGATTTAGATTTAGATTTAGATTTAGATTTAGATTTAGATTTAGATTTAGATTTAGATTTAGATTTAGATTTAGATTTAGATTTAGATTTAGATTTAGATTTAGTAAATGTGGACAAAGTGGGTAATCTATGTGTCATTTTATGAATATTGCACGTGCACTGGCTTGAGAAAGGACAAGCAGGCACTGATGGGTGGGCAGTGCTCAGTGAGCATTATAATCAGACAGTTTAATGCAGATGTAGTGCTGCTGGTAGGGCATCATTCAGTGCCCATGAAGAAACAAGGATACAGCAAACTATACAGAATAAATACTTTCTGGTTGGCAACGGGAGACATTTGCAGGTAACTCCAGTATCTACATCATATCCTTCTTTTGCCTTTTGGCTTTCATTATTCTACTTTTTGGAATCAGTTAATTCTTTCTCAAAAGATTCTGAATATTTTTTTTCTTCTCATTTTTTAAATTGTTGTTAAAAAGCATCTCTTTTGTTAATGTCACATATATGATCTTCACCATCATTAATTAAGACATCATCTAATGTTATGCCCGTAGAGGAAAGTTCAAGCTTTTGTAATTGGAAAAGTACATCAGTGTCTCATTTCCTTTATAATAGTCCACTCATCTGAAGCCAAATGGTGGTTGTGTATCCCTGATATGTTCCAAAACTGTCATTACAGTGTAATTAATTTTTGTCTTTTATAGAATAAAATAGAGATGATTGAAAATCCTAAAGCTCATACCTGAGAAAGGACACCAAGAAATCAGCATGGATTGTAATATTTCTTACACTTTTTTAGAGGCAGAAAGAGATTTTTTTGCAGAAAATGCCTTTGACATAGATGTTTGAGTGATCTGCTACATAGACAGTAAAGCATAATATTTTATAAGGTTTTTATGGGGTATTAAAAGTCCAAGGTGGCCAAGTTTCCTAACAGAAAAAGCAAAATATCTCAGGGGTTGAACAAAGGCATCATCTGCACCAGAGTGACCCCAGACTGACTGTGAGTGTGCATGTCTTTGTGTGTGTGTGTACACGTGTGTGTGTGTGCACTTCAGAGAGACATTCTTTGCTTCAGTTCCATTATAATTCCTTTAAATATTTATTACTAGAATGTAAATTCTCCTGGAAACTGAAGCCTCTGCTCTGGAAAAAATAGACCATCACCTACCACGGATGTTGTCGCTCAAGTGAAATGGCCAAGTCCCTTTTGGAGAAACAAAAGGATTTGGTTATATAAACCAAAGTCGCTGCACTGAATTATAAGAGTGGGGAAAAAAAGAACAAAAACCTGCTGACTGCTGGTTGAACTACTCCTTGGCTACGTGTGAACTGAGGTTGTGCAGATCTAGCAAGAAGCAGGAGCAATATTAAAATGAATTGGTTACTAATAGTGGAAATAGTCCAGCAAGCACATTTACAATATCCAGCACTAAGGATGGCTTTGTTTTCAGATTCATTTGTCTTTATTTTCAATGTAAAGCATTAATAAGCTTCTTAAGGAGATTGGGGATGGGCGAAAACATTTGCTGATCACCTTAAATCCCAAGAAAATAAAAAAAGTTCTCAGGTTGCTGGATGAAAAAACAAATTAGAACAGCTTTATACTTCTTACACTGCTATGAAAGCTTTACTTCTAGATCATTTCCAGACACCAGAAAGTTATTAAAATTCACAAAGGGAAAAGAAATTCTACATTTATATGAGTTTTAAAACTTATTTTGGGACTTCAGCTTGATTCTAGTGTATAGGAGAATAAATCTGTAATGTAAAAAAGCTAGTCAAAAAGAGGAACCAAGGACCAGTCTAGCACTACAAACCCTTGGGAAGGGATTTATCAAATAATATTTGGGGTTACATTTTATTCTGAAGGGTCGAAACTGGACCAGACTGCTGTGGGCAGTACCAGCACTTAGGCTCAGGTATTTGTATCACTTTAAACCCTACTGTCATTTCAAGGATATAAATAAGCTTGGAAAAATCAGATTATTGGAAGGATTAAATTGGGATCAGTGTCAGTAATAATCTATTCCTTTGTGGTGACACCAATTGAAACATGGAAAGTTTGGGGGAGGGGAGTGACACTATACAACATTGCTATGGATTGTGTGGGAATGAGGAACATAAACAAGGGGAAGGAGAGTTAAATAGCACAGCTCTTATGTGCCCAAGAGGCCATGAATTGGGGGATACATAAGGCCAGAGAAACCCTCCCTGGAAAGAGCATTGGCCAAAGGCACTGCCTCACCAAAGGCCAATAACAGTGATGGAGTGCCAAAACACATCAGTCTTTCTAGTTTGTCAAGTTAATAAAGTCTGTCTGTGTGCTGTGTTTCCACACTTCCAATCCCACCCAGCATGCTCTATGAGCCACAAAATCGTAGAGGAATCATAAAGGAACTTTATTTCCCTTTTTTTTTTTTTTTTTTTTTGCAATGACATTGCCTTAATCTTTCCCCTACTGTGTCACTCCAGTTATCTCCTAACTGGAAAAAAAGGCAGCAGGTACCTGTTTGCCCTGTCTCTGGGGATTCTGAATTATCCCAAGCTGAGGAATGTCATTTGGTCTCCAGGCAGCAGTCCCTCCATCACTAGCTCAGTGCTATTACCCCATCCAGCCCACATTCAGCCATCCCCAATTGCAATCCATGCAAGTGTTGCCTACATAAGAGCCAAGTGAGCAGCAGCTGGCCTAGGTTCTTTATCATTGCCCAAAATACATCTCTAAATGTACAATCAAGTACTTGGCTCTTTTGGATCCAGAATTAATTTGATAGTGGTGACTTTAATTTGGTGACAAATTGCCCACGGAATTTTCCTTCAGCCAGAAACATGTCAGCAAGGTACACAAGGTAGCTTGTGGTGGTTGAGCAAAGAAAGTCTATTTAGATTTGTTTTCCTTCTTGTCTTTCAGAGAAAGTTAAAGACTGGGTTATCAGTCTGGAGCTCTCTAAGTGTAATCCTACATCCCTGACAAGCCATTTTCTGCTTAATCTGAAGATGATTTGAGGTCTGGAACACCTCTTCCATGAGGAAAGGCTGAGAGATTTGGGGTTGTTCAACTGGCTCCTGGGAGAACTTATGGTGGCCTTCCAGTATCTGAAGGGGGCTTATTAGCATGATGGAGACTGACATTTTAATAGGGACAGTAGCAAAAGAACAAGGAGTAAGAGTTTTAAATTATAACAGTGTAGATTCAGACTTGATAAACAGAAGAAATTTTTCAGAATGAGGTTGGTGAAACACTAACACACGTTGCCCAGAGAGAGTGATAGAGGCCCCACTCCTGAAAACTTTCAAGGTTAGGTTGGACAGGTCTCTGAGCAACATGATCTAGATGAAAATGTCCCTTTCTGTGGAAGGGGAGTTGAAGCAGATTATGTTTAAAGGTGCCTTCCAACACAAGGCATTCTATGATTCTATGGGAAGTGGTTTCCCTGGATAGGAATGGATTTATCCTTCCACTGACCGCTGAGTGGACAGTGCTGGGAGACTGGTGGCAGTGCATCTCAGGTCTTGGAGCAGGTTTCTATAAATACACTCAACTGTAAGCAAAATAGTGATGAGAAGAAAGGAATGCAGTGTTTCCTGCATAGATAACACTTCACTTATACTGCCCTATGACAGGAGCAAAAATCATAGGGTGGACAATTCTCATCATTATTCCCAGATGCTTTTCCAAAAGTTTGCTTTAACTGTACAGAATGAATTACTTGGGAATTTCTCCTGTTGAAAAAGAAATGGTTGATATCTGGAATTGTGCATTTATAGCTTTGTCTCTTCAGAGGCTTCCTCATATAAGTGGTTCTTTTCACATTTCCCATTGGATGTTTTTTTTCCTAAATATGCATTTAAATTTCTTCCTCCATTTCTTTAGATGTAAAATGCAAGCCTCTGCATCTACACAAAAGCACATGCACTTCCCTTTTCTTTCAGTCTTTCAGCTTCACATTTTTACTTCTGCTCAGTTAATTACTCATTTATAATTATGTCTGTCTTTATCTACGTGGGCATGTATTTTCCCCGGGAAGCAGCTGTCTGGTCCTTGGGAGTCAGTGTAACCTGCCTCCAGCCCTTCTTGTCTCTGTGATCCTCCTGGCATCACGGAGCAGCTCTCAGCAATCCAGGGGTAGCATCACTGGCTTGCTTGGCCCCGGGCACTGAGCCCTGCGTGCTGGGTGCCCATTCCCTGTTTGCCAGGTGCACCCAAGTATCCAGAAATGCTCTATCATCCCAAAAGAGCCCGGCCTTAGGCAGCTTGTGAGGCCAGAAAACCCCATGGGGGTGAAGCAGGAGGGGCATGAGCGATTTGGGGAGGCAAGGAAGGGGAGAACATCCCAACATTGCAGCCTCCATCCCTTCATCTCCCTCTGCCGCCACTCTTCCGCTGAGGAAACCAAGCTGGCAGCAATGACACTTTGTGCTTCAAAGGGCCCTGACAAGCACGTCACTGCTATTTGTGTAATGGGCTGAAATTCTTGAGTGAGCAGTGGTACATAAAGGAAAAGTCTCAGGGTAATTGCTGATCCTTACAGCTTTTTCATTCCTGAAAATTTGAGGGTAAGGAAATAGCTGTAAGGGTAAACAGGAGATAAATGTTGGTTCATGGCACATTCCTTATTCAAACATTTTCAGAATGTCCTGGGATTGCTGTCCCATAGGCAGAGCTTACCAAGGGTGCGATTCCTTTCTTCTTCATCTCTAAATCACCAAGCTTTCTCCTTGGACATCACTTAGAGCCATCAGAGCTGATCAAAAAGAAGGGGAAAAAATCTTATGCAGATCCTGCATCACAATTTCCTTTCTAATTTTTTGTTTTAATTTTCACATTTTAAAACTAGTTTTGAACACTTACTTCTTGGGGTTGTGAGAAAATTTCCCTTTAGCTTCCCACAGTCAAGTAATAACAAAAACAAAACACATCCCCTTCTATATCCACATTAAAGAAATTTATGCTGGTTCCACTTAAGAACTAGCTGCTACCGTGACCTGCATTTTTTCATCTCATCTCCACTTTCTTGTGGGTTCATATTAATTTCTCTGTAGTGGTAGAAATGGAGTTCCAGGCTTGTGCTTTTCTCAGAATCAGGCTGAGACTGACTCTGGCCACAGCTTTGGTCAAGTTGGTCAAAGGGTTGAGTTTGTATGAGAAGCAAACTGTCTCTTTAGTGCCAGTAGCCAGAAGAAACTCTTCCCATTATTACCAGCCAGGCTCCAGCAGCCCTCTGCTTCATGGCAGTCTCTTTCTCCAAAGAGATCAAAGCTTTCCATGCTGTCTGACTGGGACACCTTCCGTGACACTGCACAGGCTGGGAAGCAGCACTTCAATTGATTTCCACTCTCCCAGTTGAAACAGTTTGCTGGATTTTGGGAAACCTTCTATGGAAAAGAGTTCAGCAGCAGCTGGTGTGCAGGCCACAGGCTCTGTGGGCTCTGCTCCCAGTGCCACCAGCCACAGCGCCGGTGCCTTGGCTCACACGCCAGCATGAGATGGAAGCAGGATGTGATCTGAGATGGAGCCATGGGTACAGCCTGCCTGGGCTCACAGGTTGACATTGTTCCACAGCAAAGCACAAACCTCACTCCTTCTCAGGTGCCCTGCATCTGAGCATGAGTGAGAGGACAAAGTCTCCAAGTCGAAGGGGCCAAGCACTATGGGTGGGACGAGCAGAGTCCACAGTCCATAACTTACCTGCTTATCTCAATATTGTACCTGGCACCAGGGTGCTGTAGTGATTGGAACCCCATAAATACTAATGACAGATAGCAATTAGCACCCCATACATACCACCAACACATGATCTTGCCACTAGGAAGCAAGAACAAGTTTTTCATACCCAACTGGCTGAGCAAGCTTGAAGGTGAAAATAACAGGAAGATGTAAAAAACACTGTTTGAAAACAATAATCTTCCTTTGGAGTCAAACTTTTTAATGAAAAACAAAGCCTAAACCAGCAGCCTTGTACTAGTAGCCTTTGGCTTCAAAATGCCTTAAGTCCATTTATATATGGCTGATAAAAGGATAGTTGATTGATTCACTACAGCCAAAGGCTCAGCTCCTAGGAATGCATGGTGTTTCATATTTTTTCTGGGATCTCTGATCTCTGCTGGAGGTTGAGGAGCGGGCTCCAAATTATAATGTATTTTTGGAATTATATTGAGACCATTTTTCAGAAAAGTCACCTTCAGGTCTCCAAGATTCTCTCTGGAGACACAGGGATGGTAGAAAACTTCTAGCATGACAGTTTTATCTGAAAAAAAGGAATATGACCAGTCTTAAAGGAATGGTAATCCAATCACATTGGATAAACACTTGAATGTGAACCTTGGACCTAAAGTTTTCTACACACGAAACATAAAGCACAAGTTTCTCTGAGGGTATGTGGAAGCAATAATAGATTTACAAATCTCTGTAGATCAGCTAGAGGATACAGGCATCCTACAAAAGGCACATGGGAGAAACTAACCTTTAAATGCAGTGTGTTAAATTAAATCCCTTCCCATCCCCTCCTTGTACCTCAAAGCCCAGCTGGTCTTTGACTTTGTCCTGTCTGCCAGCTCCTGGTCACATTTGCCAGGCTGCTGGAGAGCTCCTGCCATCAGAGCAGTGGCTGAGAGTCTGCTGGAGTCTGGGGGTCTCCTCATCGTGGATGGTGGTCAGCAGGACTGGAACTTTCAGTTCAGTATCTGACAAGTGCTCTGACAAAGCAAGTCACGGAACAAGGAAACCTCCTTCAGCAAAACTCTAATAACCTCCTCCACAATACTATAGAAACATAGAAGACTCTACATTCACTGACTGCATTTACCCAAGCATTACAAAATATTAAATAGTATATTTAGCAAAACAAAAGCTTTCAGGTATTCTCTTTGGTAGGCAATTGTCAAGGGCAGAGCTGCATGTCAAGTTTGTATCTGCATTGAAACCTCCACTGACTTAATTAGGGTAAAATGCATGAAGTGTAGTCATTATAATCTGCTTTGCAATGACACAAACATATAAAAGCCATGTTCATATGACAGGAGTGTCCAGATTTTGCATCCAAGTCTTTTGACAAGATTTGAAGGGGAGAAAAGGGAAGGAGGGGAGAAGGGAAGATGGTAAGAATTGCTGAGCTGATATTTCTAAAACCCTTGGAAACAGCCGCGAAGTCTTTCGCTGCCTCCACCCTTCCCAGTAGTCTCATTATGGTAAGTAATGTTGCACTTATTTGAAAGCTCAGGTTTTCACGAGGCCGGCTGTGCAGGAGAGCCAGCAGCACAAGTGGTGCTGGAGATCTCTGCTCCCAAAAGCTGAACCCCAGCACTCGTGCCCCTTCGGCTCCCAGGAGCATTTCTGTTTTCAGGAAGCGGCTTGAACTTCTGCCTTAAAGTAAAAGCATATCATGACAGATACTCTAATCACAATGTCTAAATATAATACAAGGGAAGACAATTCAAGGGAGCTCAGCTACTCTTTTTAAAGCAACTGTCAGGAAACTGACTCTGTGGCTTGCTGCTTTAGAGTAAGATTAAATGAATCAGCCTCACCATTTGAATGCGTGGGAAGTCAGAGACAGCAAAGTGACAACTAAGGACAGTTTATTTATAATTGGGCCCTCCTTCTATTGCTGTTTGTGCACAAGGCCTGTGCACTAAGAACAAAAGTACCTGCCCTTGATGTAAAATTACTCACAAGTGCTACGTGTACATCAGGTAGATGGCTATGCTAGTTTAGCTGATTACAAAGTTCATGTAATTATTGAACTGTCTAGTGATGTTTGGGAAAAGAATGCAGCAGCTGCAAAAGGATCTGACTCCATGGTCCTTCAAACAGGAGTCTTTCACAACAAGGAAGAGCCTGAGCTGGGCATTGCTGCCAGCAGACATCTGGAGGGATGGCATGGGGGCTGAGGCACCATCAGTGCAGCAGCTTTGCAGCCAAGGCAGTCTGGGAGGGCTGGAGGGTGACACCGAGGCAGCATCGATGGATGCTTTATGAGCAGGGACCTTTGATACTTAAGCTGCAGATCCCCACTCCTTGGGCTAAAAGACTTCTAACTTTAACCCATAGGTTTCCAAAACAAGGCTTGTCACTGAGGATCAAGAGTGCTGTAGCTGCAGATGCAGTCATGAGCTTGGGAGAAATTCAGTAGTTTATGGTGATGTTTGAATAATGAGCCCAAGTGGAACAGCATTGCAAAGAGAAATGGGTTTGTCAAAGGAAAAAAAGGTGGGTTTTTTATATCTGCCTCCTCAGGATGTTATCCTCATCTTTTAAAGTGTCCTTCTGAGTGAGTGAAAGGCAAAATCCACAAATCTGAGGTAAAGCTGCTGAGAAAAGTACCAGGGAGTGGTTGAGTCCCTTGGAAAAGGTGCAGCATTGCTCTTTGCCCAGCCTCCAGGTGGAAAAGTCAATGGAATGAAGCTGACCTCAAGCTTTTATTCCTCCCCACTTTGGCAGGCTTTAATCTATAGCATCAGCCTGCACCCCTAACTGGGAAATATTATTAAAATAACATTAAATATTAAGAGAGACAACACAGCATCTCTCGCAGTGAGGGAGCTCCTGACACAGCAATCTCTTCCTAATAAACTGCCTTGACAAACAATTTACTTATGTTCTTATTTCAATTAGATGAACTACATTGCAGCAGAAAGGGTGAGTGTGGCTGGGTGTTATTTTGCGAAATAGTAAATATTTATTCTTCTCTCCCTGTGTGGAAGAGGGTGGGCAGCAGGGTCGCAAGACAAGACCTCATGATCACAATTTTTCAAGCTGTGATAGTCACAGTTTGTGACTAATCAGCAAGGCACAATGCTTTTGTGTCCAGCTTTCACCAATAGCTTAGCTTTTGGTACAGCATTAACAGTGATGGACATCATGGCCAGGTTTGGTTCTCATAGAGATTTGGGTTGGAAAAAGGGAGAATATCCACTGCATAGCCAAATAAGAAAATACTAGAAGATTTTTCCACCCCTGGACAGAAGGCTCCCACCAAGCTCAGGGCTGTGTTGTGTCTGGCACTGCCTGTACCAAATGTACTCCTTGGCCCACAGTACCTGAGCACACAGAGTCTTCAGACAGGTCCATGGTCAGGTCACGGGCTCAGATCTCCAGGCTCCCAGGTGAGAAAGGGAGTGGTGCAAAGACAGGGGAAGAACTGCTGGAAGGTACTTGGAAATTTAAAGCAAAGAAAATCTCCATCTCTGCTTTCTTGGAAACTTTGCCTGCAATTTCAAATATTTTCTGTTGATGGCATGAAAGGTGTGGAAGTAGACACGTGTGCTTGTCTTTCAAACACTGCTGGGCTGATGGCCATTTTGGGAGGGGGGATAAAAATGTTTAACTTTGGAAAAGCAGTTTCTTTCCAGAAAATCCCTTGAGGCTCTACACATCACAGAGGTTGGAAGCCACGAGGTTTCTGTCAGCACATCCATACTTATCCCTGAAGTATAGCATAGAAGATCAACTCTGGCAAAGTGCCACAGAAAGTTTTATTACTTTAAAGACACTGTGTTTGTTTTATAAAGCCTGACCAAAAATTTACCTCAGTCTGTATAAATTTTTTCCTATATAATAAAATGAATCTCTTTGAGAAAGCTTTTTCAGAGGCTGAAGAGTAGAGGGAAATCCCTTCCCTTGTTGCTGAAGGCATGTCTGAGATGAAATATAGCTGCTCTTCACTGGAAAGGCCACGCAATGGGACTTTTTGAGGTGGAGAGTGAAGTGGAATAAATAAAGCTGAACAGTGAGGTGGGGTACATGCAGGGGCCAGGCAGGCATTGCCCAGTATGAATTTGGCTTGTAAATCATCCTGTTAATAACACCATAGAGCCTGTAATGATAGGGAACCTCACCTAATGCCTCATCAAAAAGTCAACACACTTTGCAGAACTGGGCATCCCTCATACAACCCTCTACAGCACTTTATAGAGTGAATCACAGCAGATTCAATACAGAAAATTATGGAACTTCTTCTTTTCATATGTGTTGCCCTTTTAATCTGAAATAGTCCCTTCCTTTCCCTTTGACTGGTGTTCGGGGATGGATTTTAAATGGGCATTAGTTACAAAATTGCAGATCCAGAAGCAGAGCATTCAGAGTGCAAGATGATTCATCACGTGTGCATCCACATCCCTACAGAAATGATTTGAAGTCTGGAGAAAGTGTTTTAGGAGGATGAGCCAAACTGTCCACTGAGTGGTTGCCTGTGTCCAGGGGCATCACAGCATCACCAGTACCAGCAGAGCCACAAAGGTTGGTAGGAGCTCAGGCTCTGCCCACGGGGCCCTGATGATGCCACGGGCCATTAAAAAGGTTAAGTTCCTCCTACAGAGACTCTCCCTCCCTTGGAAATGGCACTTTCAGTAAGACAGCGTGAGTCAAAGTTTAGGGGATACACTGATGGTTTCACCAAAGGAGGATTAGGAATTGCAAAGTGAAAACAGGGTAAATTTACAAAGAGATAATTTGAAAAATTTCCTGTTTAAAAATGTGAAAAAAAAAATTGAGGGAAAAACAAGTATGGAGATAAGTTTGTTTTCAGCAGGATACAAGGACTACTTTTTTTTTTTTTTTTTTTTTTTTTTTTTTTTTTTTTTTGTATAGAATGGGAAATTCTTTTCCTTGCTCTAAGTGTACCTTTTAATCCAGCTTTGCTGGTGGAATAAGTAACAAAGCCTGCATTACAAATGTGGTGCTCTCAGGAGCTAGGTACTGATGTGCCCTTTCCCACTGCAGCAGAGGTAGGAGGCTTTCCAGTGAGCTCTTGGAAGCAGGAGTCTCTCAGGAATTTCTCAGCACAGCAAATGTACCAGTAGGTGCTATTGGCAATTTTTACCAGAAGGATTTTCCTCTGTAAGTTTTTCTCTCTTCCAGCCAAGGACAAACCTCTGACACTAGCCCACATTATTGTTTGAAGAAAGATTGAAATCTTGTGCTTCTGACATAGTTTTATTTTTAATTTCCACACTGCAAATGTCAGGGGAAAAAATACCCTAAAAATTATACTTCAGAAAAGTCTATAATTACTTCCAATTAAATCATGGCCCTGGTTGTTTGAAAGACAACCACAGCTAGAATTTCATTATCTGATAAGCACTTTTCTTTAAAATATATTTCAAAGTTTCTTTTATTAATAATAAGAAGAAAGGGATCCAAGATCCTGCAACAATACCTGAGCTAACTGCAAAAGCTCGACGATGGGAAATTGTGTTTAACCCCTCAAATGGAGAGGCCACACCATTTTTAGGGCGTTTATTTCAGCAATACTCCTGATGGGGAAGCAAGCTGAGCAATGTGATCAGATGTGGTGTTGGGCTGGGGAGAGGTGACCCAGATCTCTGCCTTCCCCGGGGCCCTGATCAGGCTGTGCACTTGCATCGCACCTTCCCTCCATCCATGATACCCAAAGCGTTTCACAGCATCTGTCCTGCTTCTCCTCACCACACTCCTCAGTCCATCAGGGTACATCTGTTGAAGCCACAGAGGCTTTATCAGCATCATCTGGTTTCATAGTGGGAATTAAGTCTCATCCCTCTGTATGCCTGCGCTGTAGATCCATTTGTTACCCCCTGAAAGGGGTATTTACATCACATAAGCTGCATTGAGGGAGCCACTGATGTTCCAGCTGGGTAAAACTATCTGAGTTCTTATAAAGCCCCAATTGCTGGTGCATGGGATAATTGTGCTGTAGGTTTTTGTGCTGTTATTTTGAACTTCAGCTGTGACAGAGCCATCAGACCCCAGCCCTACTCAAGTATGCAGCATATTTTCCATATGTAGTCAAAGATAAGAGCCTTCCCTCAGAACCTTACAAAATAAGCAGCCACAGTCCCAGCCTGGTACGCTGCCTGTTTTCTGGTGTGCTTGGAAGTCCATCTGGATCATTTGCCGTGCAGAAGAGGGACGCATGGGCTTGAGGGAAGGGGCAGGGGGGCTTCCACAAAACACCTGCCTGCAAAAAGGCTTGTGTGTGGAGGGATAGGTGACAGTAGCAGCAATCCAAATCCCTGTCACAAGGGACAGGATTTTCTTCAGGTAATGCCAAGAGGTAGCCTACAGTAAATATTTGCTAATGATGATCCTTGTAGGTCCCTTCCAACTCAGAATATTCTCTGATTAGCAGAGATTTAATGTGCATATCATAGCAGTCTGCCTGGACATCCACTACTTGCACATAGAACAGACATTCCTGCTATCTGTGGAAAAATCCTTCCCCAAATATTCCACATCACAGTGGCTACTCTCTGAGCTAGTCTTACTAGGTGGAAAGAAATTAAAAATTGCAATTGACTCACCAGTAAAAATTTGTGAGCGTATCCAGCAAATAATGTAGATTTCCTCAGCACTTACCTAATAATTTTGCTTTTAATTAAACTGTCCATTCCCTCACTGATTTACATTTAAAAAGAAAACAACTGCGTGTATTTCACTGGGAAGCCTTCCCCTGGTGTTCAAAAAAAAATATTTTGCTTTGCTTAATGTGAAAGATTTGGGGCCTGATCCTTGTTAACAACTTGCTGCATTTCAGCTCCACTGTGAAGGCAAACAGGTATGAAAGGTTGTCACTGAAGGGGACATGCTCACCCTGTGTGCTTACAGCCTTTCTCTTCTGCTTTTTTGGGGCTTTTTGTTTCTTTGTTTGGTTTTGGTTTTATTTTTGGGGGTTTTTTTTGTTATGTTTTTGTTGGTGGTGTTGTTTTTAATGTACTGTACAATCTTTTATTAGTACAGTTTTAGGCTCAATCTCTCCAAAGAAATAAATGCAGTGGATGGACACTGAACCAAGAAATCTGGGAGCCACAGACACCTGAGCTTTGGAGGGAAGAGGAATAAATTGCATCTCAGCAGCAGGGTCCACAGGCAGGGTCTGGCAGAGGCACCAAAGAAGAGGAGGTGATACCACCGTAGCGTTTCTGGCTCTGAGAGACCAAAGAGTATCCATTCAAACATCTCACCTAAAATGGGAATGATGACCAAAACTTATGTTTTAAAACTCCTCTGCCTTTCTTGTTAAACTTGACTTTTAAAATCTGTAATAATTTCTAAGGGAAAAGAAAAAGAAGCCCAAACTCTCTCCGATTCCAGCAAGAAACAGTAACTCCTGCTGTTCCCTCTGCAATTAAGTATAGGCTTAGGTTGTTACCAGCAGGCCCCCTGAGACACACCAGCGAAACACCAGGTGCCTTTCTGGAGGAGTTACATGCCAAGACCACCAAGATTTCCATATGTGGGGCAGAAATGGAGATTCTTTGAGTGCCAGCCCAGTGCTGTAAAGAGGCCACCCCTCCTGTCCCTGGCTTAGTGCCTGCCACCACCACCCAGCAGCCACATCAGACATAGTTGGGCATGCTGCTGCCTTGATGGCATGTGGTGCGCCATGACACAGCTGAGCATGCCATGTACCTGCACCCAGACTAGGGCTGTGCTTATGGCAGACCCAAATATGCAAATAGAGAAATGAAAAAACCTGCAGATGGGGCATTAAAAGGTGCTTCTCCAGTGCTGGCTTGCCATCCTCTCACAAAGTGAAGGGGACAAAGAGAAGAGGTGGGAAAGTCTCTCAGGATGCAAAATTTCAGTGACAGCCCCTGCAGCCTCAGGCAGGAAGAGAGTGGACCATGATTTCTCCAGAGAATGGCCTTGCTCTGGGGCTGTTGCAGCTGCACTGCTGATGACTGGCTCCCAACAGGTACGTCCACACCACAGCTCTGGCCTTGGCTCAGAGACCCAGATGACAAAGGGTATAGCATCCTGGAGTGCTCAGTTTTGGGGAGAATGGGAGGAAGGTTGTAGGCTCAGAGCTGGGTCAGAGTGCATCCCCATCTGTTCACAGCACTGGGAAAGTAGAGAAAGGGGTTGTACCCGCTTGGCTCCAATCACGTGCCCTATGTTCTCTCCAAAAGAGACACTCAGGAGGAGGCCCCTGGGGAGGAAGGCTCTGCATGTTTGGGCAAATCCCTGCTCCCTCTACATGCCCAGAAAACACCAGCATTGTCTATGCACCATGTTTCCACAGCCAGTCTGGGGCCGAGGTCAGGACCTGTTGGGGTGGGGTTTTATTTATGTTGCCTCATTTGGCAACAACATTTAAAAACATGTAAGATCAGAACAGTCCTTGTTGGTGAAAACATACCCATTAATTTTCCTATCTTGGAAGAATTTGTAAGTGGATGAAAGTCTGTAATGTCCTTGGCGATACCAAACTTGAGAGGCATTCAGGAATTGCAGTCCTGGACCAGCCAAGCAGTCCATCAAGTTCAGCACCTTTTCCCTAAGACAAGCAGATTAACCCATGCTTTGAAGCCAACAGCTTTAGCATTTCCCTAAGTATGTCACACACAGGTTTGGATGTTCCTGTGTCACCCTTCATGCTCCACCCACCAGCCACAGGGCCAGGGGGCACCGCTTCCATGCCCAGGCCACACATGGTGAGTCCTGCAGACATCTCTGACAACCCCTTCCTTCTTTTCTTCCAGCAAGGAATGGATTTGGTTTCTATTTTAAGCTTCTGTGTCATCCCAGCTTTGATGGATGTGGAGTTAACACAGACCCTACAGGCTGTGGGATAGCCCAGGGTGAAAGAAAGGGAGAAGAAACAATCGGTGCAGTCTCACACAGAAAAGACTGGTACATCTGCCCCCATTCTGCAGCTGAGGAGAGGGAGGCTGATGTGACTGACCTGGAGCCATGCTGCAGCAGAATGCAACGCCAAGAAGTGAAGCTGGTTCCTGTAGCAGCCCACTCCTCTAGGTTTGTCCTCTGCTCTTCTCCAACACTTCTCCACATCTCCTCCTCTTGCGTCTCCCCCTGCAGGGAGGCAGGCTGGGATCAGAAGCATCAATAGCCTTGGGGAGCAGATAAGGTTCTCCATCATAAAAAAGGCAGCAGTGCAGAATTACAATGACCAAAAATACGTTTCAGTAAAATATGAGGCTTTCAACTCATGCCTAGAGCTGAACCCTGAGGGTGGCCATAGCTAAATAAAAGAGGGACAAGAAACAAGTTCAAATGCTGTGTCTGCTGTCATCTGCACACTTGCCCTCCACCTGTGGCCTGGACTTCCCCAGTGGTCCAGCTGAAGGCAGATCCATTTCTTTCCAAGATTTAGTGATGGTTGATCTAGGGATCACTTCTCAAAATGAACCAGGGATGAGACGGGAGCAGGTTTTGCTCCCTCTGCTGTACATACTTCTCCAGTGCCATCCCAGCCCGTTTTTGAGCCCTCAATCACCTCCACCAGCCCTGCGTGGCACTCCCTGACACATTTAAAATGTATCCTCAGCTTCATGTTGCAAACAGAATGCTAATGGGGCGAGAGACAGCTCTTCTGTAGTTTCAGGCATTTTTCAGGGGAAGAAGAAAAATCATGCAAAACACTGAAGATACCTTGCAAACAAAGATGGCCCACAGGAGCCTGGGGATCACATCCTCCGCAGCGCAGCCGTGGCCATCCTGCTCCATCGGCTGGTCAGCATGGGTTGTTCCCTGACCTGCTTTTGTCTGC